TTTAGTAAAAAATTGACCACGCCGCCCTCAAAGTGATTTTAGAGCGAATTCGCGACTGTTTTTGGGCTCCTTTCCGGTAAAAATGGTTCTGGCCGCTATTTTCCGAATTCTAAAGGTAACTCGCTAGTTTCCTTTGGATTACTGCCTCCCAGAGGCTTTATGATACTATTGGAGCAAAAAGCAAAAGAATTTTCATGAAAATGTTGGGACTTGTACCCGAGAGGAACCGAACCCGAGGGATGCGGGGCGCGCGCCCGGGGAGCTAACCCATTATCCGTGGGGAGAGAGCCGCCGCCCCCCAAAGTGCGTTTTTGGTAAGGCTGACGAGCCGTGAATTACCATCCGCCGGAAGTTGGGGTAGCCTTTATGAAGGGCAGAAGGCAGTGTTTTTCATTTTTTTGGCGTCGGATTCCGGTAGAACTAGGCAAAATGAACACTGGTGCTAATGCAGCTGGGGGGCGGTCCGGATTTTGACTACAAGACGCTCCAAATGCCGTTTTTTTAAACTCTAAGCCTCTGGAAAGGCTAAGCTAAGCCTTAGCCTAGGCATAGCTTCATACAAACGAAGCATGAACGTAGCTTGAGCCAAGCTAAGCTTAGCTCTAAGCCAACCCCTAAAAGACCCCATTTTCACCTTGTAAGGCAATTTGAAGCTCAAGATAAGCTTAGCCTAAGTTAGGCATAGTTAAAGCTAAGTTAAGCCTAGGCTTACAACAAAGTAGTGGAAACGCAGCGCCTAGTAACCCCTTACTACCAATTTCGGACTGCCCCCCCCCCCTAACTGCATTAGCACCAACACTGTCATAGGCAGGCCCAAAATTTGCGGCAATAAGGGCCTAACAAGGGAAGGGCACGCTCACAGGGTGGAATTTCGAAAAACAAAACATTCGAAATCGAGTACGGAGAATGGCATCATGTTCTCCGTAGTCGATTTCCCGGGGGTAGCCGCAAGCGTTTTTCGAAATGCCGCCCTGTGGGCGTGCCCTTCCCTTGTAAGCGACGCGACACTCCATTCGTCAAGAAAATGTATGGGGCCCCAACTTTGGAGGGTTATATCTTGAAAGATAAAACCTAACTTAAAAAAAGCTTGTTCCAACTTTATAGAATTGGAGGCAGCGAGTCTAATGATTCTCTGCCTCCAATCGAACTAAAAAAAACTGAATTCAAAAGGTATCAAAACGAAGGCGATCTTGATTCGTTTGAATTTCATGGGATGTGCCGGCCTTCTGGGGGTCGCTTGTATTGGTGTGTAGCGAACGGCCCTGGGAATGACATAGCCTAGTCAAAACACGGGGCCCAGATAACCAGGGGCACTCGTTTCACTGGTAAGGTTACATAAGGCAAAACAACTGGTAGAATCTATGTATAATCGATTCAGCTTGCAGAATCGATCGAGTCCGACAAATTCGTCTATGCTGGTTCCGATTCCGTCGAGAAATTGGCATCGAAATCGTCGAAATGACGACCCATCGAAATGACGACCCATCGAAATTACGACTCATCGAAATTACAACCAATAGAAGACTGAACGATTTTTCAAAAAATACCAATTTTTTCCAGTCCAATTTTAGTCATTCTTGGACAAAAAAAAATCAATTTCTCGACCTAGAATTAAAGTTTTTAATGAAAATTTGTACAGTTTTTATGCTTAGAAATAGTTAAAAACCCGTTAGAAACGCATCCGCTATTGATAAAAAAATCGGCTTGGGCCAAAAAATTTGGTTGACAAAAACCGGAAAATTTCTCACGTTCTGCGTGCGTCGGTCCACTTCCCCGCTCCCTTTTGCACCGTTCTCTGTGATTCTAGCACAAAAACTTATAGTTTAACAACTCAAAATGTAGGAAATGATCTCACAGAACCAAAAATGAAGACGAAAGAGCGGAATTCTAGTTTAGAAAAAAGTTATGAATTTTACAAGGTTTTCGCTGCGGTAGCCTTGCGACCTGAAATCGGTTTCGACCGGGGTCGATAACAACTCCACTATAGAATGAGCGTGCTGGTGGTATTGCCCCGGATTTTTGCCAAAAATTTTTGTACACAGCTGTGCACAGCGGAAACAGCACACGCCCAGAATTTGCGGCAATAAGGGCCTAAGCAACGCGACACTCCATTCGTCAAGAAAATGTATGGGGCCAAAACTTTGTAACCTTATAACTTTAAAACTAAATGGAATTTAAAAAAAGCTATTTCCAACTTTGTAGGATGGGAAAAGGCGATTCCAATGATACCAAGCACTAAGAAAACTGAATTCAAAAAGTATCGAAACGAAGGCGGTTTTGGTTGGCGACTTTGTGAAAAGTGGGATTTCGGAGGGCTAACTTGCTGTCTTTGGTATCATTCGAACCGTAAAATTCTACTCTGCAATAATTGATATTGGGTTTTCAATATTAAGTCGGTTTGAAAAAGTTATAAGAGCTTAAACTTTTTGGTGCCCGCTACGTTCCGCTCCTATCGACGCTTTTGCCCCTCCCGGCACATTGCCGTTTTTGGCCTGTTTGATTGGCCGTGACCAGGCCCGTACGGGAGCCGAGATTCCGGGGGGGCACCCACCCAAAAAATTTTGGCGACCTCCCACCCCCGGTCGGCACTTTCAAAACCTTCGAAAATGGCGACAATAACAGCGCCGCAGGCAAAAAAAATTTAGAAAACCGCGTTCGTAACGCTTAAATTCGTGTGAAAACACATCGGAAACGGCGCGCACAAGCGAAATTTTGTTCAGCAAAAATGGTGCACTAATGAAAACGAGCGCCGCAGGCAAAAAATTGGAGAAAAATAGGTTTTCTAGAAGCAAAAATTGTTTCGAAACAGTGATAAACAGCGCCGCAGGCAGAAAACTTTTTGCGGAAAAAAACATAAGGGTCCCCCCTTATGAATTTTTCGGACCTCGACCTATTTCGGGGCACCGTGCCCCCGGTCCCCCCTCGTACGGGCCTGGCCGTGATCACAGCGGCCCGGCGCCTAATAAAACGTCCGGTAGAATTGGAAACCAAGAAAGACCGCAACGCGTGGGATGGACGCGTCGCGCCATTGCGAAAGCAAGCCTGCGCAGCTAAAATCATGCTGCTATTTCGCGCCCCAGGCAAAAACCCGTACAGTACGCCTTTTCCCGGGAGCCATCGGGACCGAACCCATGGGCGGTTGTGGTGAGCAATGCAAGGAAGGCATTAGGCGCTGAAATTACTTCTGGCATGGGGGTACGGTAAAAAAACGGGAGGGCGCGCAATAGAAAATGGGCCACGACAGTCGCACGCGACGCTGACCAGAATCCAGGCTAAAAGTTAAAATTCGGAGCTAAATCAAACTTTTTATGGTTTAAAAATCAAATTTGGCGGTGTCGCGACACTTTTCTCTATATTTTGCTTCGCTACGGGCCTTAGTGCTGCCTTTACAGGCAAATATGGGTTTTATCAAGAAAATATGAGCTCGGACGGAGAAACAAGACTCATATTCAGAATCTAGGCAGGAAACTACTTTAATTCGCGATCTTTTATGCTGGAAACCAACCTGAAGTTCACGTAAATACTTAACTTTTAACCTCGAAAACTTCCGACCCCATATAAACCTTAAAAATCAAAGTACGATTTCTATGATTTTGTGCTCAAAAGACGCGCCGTGTGTTCTTCTACAACTTCTACAATAACAACTCCGCTAATAACGTCGAAAATTTTTTAAATCGGTTTTTTTTCGCAATCCCCAGCTTAATTGTCTTTCTTGAATTGAATTATTTATGGCTGTTTTCTCGATATATTTGTAATCGGCGCTAGAGGAAGGCAATTTTGTGGGAGGATGACAAAAGCGCCAAAGCAAAAGCGCCAACGACAAAAGCGCCCATGCAGAAGCGCCAAACGAAAAGCGCCCAATGCCAGAAAGCGCCCAATGCCAGAAAGCGCTCTATGGGGAAAGCCAACGTATGGAGAGAGGAAACAATTACATAAAATGGCTTTTTTCAAGCTTTGTATGCCTTTTAAACGTTGTTTAGCGATAGGTAGGCTTTGTAGACGGCAAATTATCACCCCGAGCGGGTTGTTTTGGCCTTATTGGGTCTTTTTGGCTTGAATTGCCGTGTTTCAGTCTCTAGTTTTACCGGGTTTGCCTCATGTTCTCACGATTTCTGATGTTTTCAGTCACAATACTGTTGCAATCACGAAATACTTGTTATAAAACAGTGTTTGGAGGCCAGAACGACGAGAAAAACGCCGTATTTCCGGGTAATGGATCCGAAAATGGCACTAAACAACCTTTCCACGGCGACTTTATACCTTTCTCACATTAGAAATGCATTTTAGGACCGGTTCCAGCATGTAGAGATCAAGAAACTACTTCAAAAATAGTGGAAAAGCTGCTTTAGAAGAGAACTAGCTATTCGAGTGAAAGAATGCCCTAGGAGGCGAAAATAACTTGACCCCGTCGGTAATTTATGGCCTAGTAGGTCGAACTGCCGCTAAACTACCATAATAACACCAGAAAACCTATTAAAACAGCTATTTTATCTCTACTTTATGTAATTGTTTCCTCTCTCCATACGTTGGCTTTCCCCATAGAGCGCTTTCTGGCATTGGGCGCTTTCTGGCATTGGGCGCTTTTCGTTTGGCGCTTCTGCATGGGCGCTTTTGTCGTTGGCGCTTTTGCTTTGGCGCTTTTGTCATCCTCCCCGCTTTTGTCGTTGGCGCTTTTGCTTTGGCGCTTTTGTCATCCTCCCAATTTTGTTCTCAAGTTTGATCTAGTTTTCATGCCATGTAGCTGCGTAGTTTTAGCTCTTTGGCAATTCTTTTGCGCCTTATCGGTAAACAAATCGCGCGCCAAACGCGGCCTTTTGAATCTTTCCTCCCACCCCGTTTTCCCGCACTGGCCCTGCGAAATTAGGGTTGCCCGTGTTTCTCTATGCATCAAACTAATGGATATCTATTTCTATGCATTTTCTCATATTCCTGCTTTTATTACCATGTTTTCGTCGTAGAACAACCTTTATTTCATCCTTTTCAGTGCTTGCCGTACAACAATGTCACACCGCGACGATGACTCTCAAGCGAGTAAGCCTGGTGTTGTTTTCTTAAAGTCGTTTTAGACGCCACCCAGGGATCTGACGGCGCTGAGGAGTACGACAGGGACATCGAAGAGGCCCTCGGCAACTATGAAGACGCCCCGGATGAGGAGGAAGATGAGGGTGAAGATCTTTTCGGAGACAACATGGAACGGTACTTTTTTTCTTCTATTTATCTGCCTTTTTCGCTTTCGGATGTGGATTTTTGCCCTCTCCTAGTCTCTATGAAGTCTATCTGCATTTTTCAGAGATTATCGCGAACAGCCCGAGCTCGATCGCCTCTCCGAATCCGGCCTCGACGACGACTCTGATGTCGACGAATACGATCCGGAGGCCAGACGGCGCGCCGAAGCCGAGATGAATCGCCGCGACCAAATCGACGACCCGGATCGGCTGCTCTTCGGGCCGATGGAGACTGACGGACGCAAGGATCGGCGTAGACGTGGAAGGCGCGGACTTGACGAAGATGAGGAGATGCCAGAAGACGAGGACGAAAACATCCCGATCGACATCATCGAGAACATGCGCGGACGGTCGATGAAGGATCACGTCAATGACGAGGCCGTCGGGCGGGAGATTGAGCGCCGGTAAGCATCGCTCCGCTTTTGGCACACTGGTTGTTTTTTTTAGTTTCAAGAAGTTCATCCGCACGTTCCGCGAGGAGGGCAGCAGCCGGATCAAGTACATGGACGCCGTCCAGAAGATTTGCTCTGAAAACAAGTAAATTGAAGCGTTTTGGCGAATATTTAAATTTAGGGATTCGATCACGGTCAACTACGACGATCTGTCGGTGGATTGCGGCGAGCAGAATATCGCCTACTTCTTGCCCGAAGCCCCGCTCCAAGTAAAAAGAAATCACGCTTTTCCTTCATAACTTTTATTAGGTGCTTGCTCGCTTGAACAAGGCCATTTCCGACATTGTCTTCGAAGTCTTCCCGTTCTACAGGAATATCTGTCCCGAAATCAAGGTAAATTGCTTAGTTTTTTGTCTGATTGCCATTTTAGGTCCGTGTCAGCGATCTGCCCGTCCAGGAGAACATCCGGATGCTCCGCCAGCTTCATCTCAACATGCTCGTCCGCACCTCTGGCGTCGTCACCCAGACCACAGGTTTTTTTTAAACAATTTTTATGTATTTTGTTTAGGAATCCTGCCGCAGCTGTCATTGGTGAAGTACGACTGCGTCGTCTGCAAGTACCTGCTCGGCCCCTTCTACCAGCAGCAGAACGAGGAGGTCAAGCCGACGATCTGCCCGTCGTGCCAGAGCAAGGGTCCGTTCGAGCTGAACGTGGAGAATGTAAAGTTTTTACCGTTTTTTTTTTGAAATTTGGCGATTTTTATTACGAAACGCCTGTTTTTGAGCTTCAAACATGCCAAATATTCTGAGTGTCATTTTTGTTTTTAGACGATCTACCAAAACTTCCAACGTATCGTCATCCAAGAGAGCCCGAACAAGGTCGCCGCCGGCCGCCTGCCACGCAGCAAGGACGTCATCCTCCTCGGCGACCTTTGCGACAGTTGCAAGCCCGGAGACGAGATTGTCAGTTTACGTCCTCATTGTTTTTCAATTTTTCTTTTCTTAGGAGGTGACCGGCATCTACACAAACAACTACGACGGCGCGCTCAACTTCAAGCAGGGCTTCCCCGTGTTCACCACCCTCATCCAGGCCAACCACATCTACAACCGGGACAAGGTCGAGGAGAACCCGCTCAGCGAGGACGAGCTGAAGGTAACGATCGGATTTTTTGCCGTCTAAAGCCTTTTAGATGATTCGCGAGCTGTCGAACGATCCGCAGATTGCCGACCGAGTGTTCGCCTCCATCGCCCCGTCAATTCACGGCCACCAGGACGTCAAGAAGGCCATCGCGCTCGCGCTGTTCCGCGGCGAGTCGAAGAACCCGGGCGAGAAGCATCGGATCAGGGGTCGGTAACTTTAGAATTTTTCTTGTAAGGTGTCGTTTGTTAGGTCATAATGTAGATTTTTTGAATATAGTTGTTCTATTCAATGTCGTTTACTCGATAGAGCTTAGAATTTTCAACAAATACCGGGTTTTAAAAACGGCTTACGTGTTTTAAAGCGGGGGCAAAAAAATGGGAAACTAGCGGCGTTCAGGGCGAATTCTTTCGAGGACCGTTGTTTATCAATACTTTTGAAAGCTCGAGCTTTTGTTTCAAACTATTGAATGAGCTAGATGAAATTGAAAAACTCCATCATCGCCTAAAAATGACTCTTTCTTAGATTGTCGTAGCTTTTTGTATATTTTTCCGGGCGTTCCTAACCCTGACGTTTAGGTGACATCAACGTGCTGCTCTGCGGTGACCCCGGATGTGCCAAGTCGCAATTCCTACGCTATGCCGGCCACATTGCCCCCCGCGCCGTGCTCACCACAGGCCAGGGCGCCTCCGCCGTCGGTCTCACCGCCTACGTGCAGCGCCACCCGGTCACCCGCGAATGGACCCTAGAAGCTGGTAAATTTTTGTGTATGAATGTTTATAATATTTTTCAGGTGCTATGGTGCTCGCCGACAAGGGCGTCTGCCTGATCGACGAGTTCGACAAGATGAACGACCAGGACCGTACTTCCATCCACGAGGCCATGGAGCAGCAGTCGATTTCCGTGTCGAAGGTCGGCATTGTGACGTCGCTGCAGGTAAATTAGATCCTATCCTATAAGCGAGAAATATTCGATAATATGTTTTTATCGTTATTAATCGTCTTAATGGTTTATTAGTAGTTTTTTGATCGTAAAAATATTATTTTTTAGGCTCGCTGCACCGTGATTGCCGCCTCGAACCCGATCGGCGGCCGCTACGATCCGTCGCGCACTTTTGCCGAAAACGTCGACCTCACCGAGCCGATCCTCTCGCGTTTCGACGTGCTCTGCGTCATCCGCGACGTCGTCGACCCGATTGAAGATGAAAAGTATTTTACAGTTTGGTACTTTTTATTGTTGTTTTAGACGTGCCCTGTTCGTCGTCAACACCCACATGAACCACCACCCGGACAACGCCGAAGAAGTTCAGGTGGGATTTGTAGCTTCGCGAAAATTTTTGGCTTGGGCGGACAACAACGAGGTCGGGACGCGCTACATCCCGCAAGACCTCCTGCGCAAGTACATCATCTACGCCCGCGAGAATGTGCACCCGAAGCTCAGCGAGAAGTACGCCGAGAAGTTCTCCCGCCTCTACGCCCAGCTCAGGAAGGAATCGCTGGTGAGTCGCATTTTAATGACACCATTAACCTGTTTAGGCCACCGGCTCCGTTGCCGTCACGGTGCGTATGGTGGAATCAATGATCCGACTGTCCGAAGCGCACGCCAAGATCCATCTCAGGTTCGTCTACTAGCTTTTCTCGCTATCCTATTGTATCTAGGTCTTACGTGAACGAGGCCGACGTGCAGGTGGCCATGCAGATCATGCTCGAGTCGTTCATCAACACCCAGAAGGCGTCGATCAAGCGCCAGATGCAGCGCAACTTCTCCAAGCACCTCACCGCCAATCGGTACGTTGTTTTTCGGATTCGAATTCTTAATCTGGTGTAGGTCTCCGGATGAGCTGCTGCTCTTCACCCTGAAGCAGATGGTCAACGACCAAGCCCGCTACGACAACGCCCAGGTCGGCGCGCGCGGAGATGGCGGAAGTCTGCCCGAAAAGGTCGTCATCGCTGAAGCGCCATTCCTGGAAAAGGTAACTCGTCTTGAAAACCTTTTCTTATCTAGAATAGATTTAACAGGCTATTCTTTTTATTGTTTTAGCGGTTTTACCTAGCGTTCAAGCCGATTTTAAACATTTTTGATAGGAAGGTGATATTTTTTAGTTTTTTTTCGGCCCAGGATATGACTTTTTCGTTCATTTCTGTAAGGTTTTCACGTTCAGAACTAGCTAAAACTGTGTAGAAAAGACACAGTATCGTTTTTCCTTCAAAATCCGGATTGGCGACAAAAAAGTTTAGCTTTCGGTTGGAAAATTAGAAAAATCGTAGCATTTTAGCTTGTAGGACTATTTTTAAACCCTCTATCCACTTGTTCTTTCAGGCTCGCCAACTGGGCGTCGAGAACATCCACAACTTCCTGGAGTCGAAGACGTTCCAGCGCAACAACTTCACCTACGACCCGGCCAAGAAGACGATCACCCGCGAGGTGTTCGCCCCGCTGCGCACCATCAACCAGCCCAGCTCACAAGACGATTGATTTTTGGATTGTGTAATGTTGATTTTTGATTTTGATTTTGTATATGTTGTCAAATGCTGCTGATCTCTCTCTCCCCTATCTTTTCCCGTTGAATACGATAAAGTTTTACCGACTTGTGGATGTGTTTTAGACGAATGCAGTTTTTTACACGCATACTAAAAACTCTGGCGTTTTTGGATTCATTATTAATTGAAAACATTAAATTGGTCAATTAGTGTATAAACACACAATTATACACATTTTCGCGGGGAATACAGACAGACAGGGCGATCTAGCAGTGTTCCTTTAGGAATTAACATAGCGCGCAGAATACCGGTTATTAGCATCGACTTCCGGTGGGTTGTGGGGTGCTTCTGCCCGTCATTCGCCCCCTAATTCGCTACCTCATATCCGGTTGGACACGCCATGGCCATCTCGGAATCGACATATTGTAAATGGGCTCCAAGTCTATCACTTGTCATATGCCTCATCTTTGTCTTGTTCATCGCCGGCTTCAGCATCTATTACATTGCTCAGCTCAGGTCGGCCTTTTTCTAGGCTTTTCTTGCTTTTTGTATGGCTTTTATAGGGTTTTAAATTTAAATGGCTTTATGATCTAAAATTAACTTTATTCTTATTCGTTTTGGTTTTACACTTTCTAAGGTTTGGTTTTGATCTTTTTAAACACCCTTCCTACCTAGAATTAACCCTTTTTCTTATAGTTTCTAGGGTTTTCTTACTGTCTTAAGGTTTTTTAAACCTCTTTTTAACTAAGCAGCATCATCTTTTTTTTCTTATCGATTTGGTTTTGCATAAAGTGGTACTGGACCGTTAGCGGGCGAATTGTTTTAAATTTTTTGACCTATTCAGGCCCCCGCTATCAGTCCAGTACCACCAAAGTTCCCTAATTTTTTTGAAGATTTATGTCTGCAAACTTACCTATGCCCCTTTTCAGGACTGAGAACGGGAAACTGCGCAAAAGGCTGCACGCGGCCACCGGCTCATCTACTGGCAAACGTCGTCGTCATGGCAAGAAGCGCGGCAGCAAGAAGAGAAAGAGAACCACCCGTTCCGCGTCCAGGTATCAGCTTTCGGAGCTATTCATGTTGGGGGTGGGGGGTGAGCAAAGAATTTTGAGGCCTCGGCTTAGGTGGAGGCTTAGCTTAGCTTTGCAGAGACTTAGCTTAGGCTTAGTCTCTACAAAGCTAAGCTAAGCTTTCGGCTTAATATAGGCTTGATTTTGCCTTAATCTGGACTTGATTTTGGCGTAGCTTAGGCCTAGTGTAGGCCTGGCTTAGCTTGGCTTCGGCTTGGACTTAGGCATAGGCTTGGCTTAGGTAGCTCTTCGCGTGGTTAGCTTAGCTTTGGAACTGGCTTAGGCCGGTAAGAGCCTAAAAAGAACTTCAATAGCTCCTAGTTTTCTACGTATTTTACTTGAAGCTGTAGGTCCGGCTCTCGCGTGGGCCGTGGCTCGACGGTGTCTTCGCGCTCCACGCGCCAGTCGGCGATGAGCACCTCGAGGAGCGGACGCAGCACTGGGTGTGTTTTAGCTTTTTAACTTTTTTTTACGTAGTTAGGCGAACTTTTATTCTTTTGTTAGGTAACACGCAGCTCCAATTTTCTCGTTAAATTAAGGCCGATTTAATGCTTTTTATTACTGCTACTTTTGCTTTTTGATCAGCCAAACTCGGAGCATGGAATTTAGCTCCTCAGGCGTCGCTTAGCTAGCTTTAAGAGCTTATGCCTAACTTGGCTTGTAGCTTATTCTTTTCTTTGCTAATCCTGACGTCAGCTTTACCATAAAAAGTTACCTAGTTTTAACCTTATTAGACTAGCTTTATTATTCTATTTATTAGGTAAAATACAATCGTTTTTCCCTAGCGCTTTTCCGCTTCTATGTGTTGCACGCAATTTTGCTTTTATTGCACTTCAGTGCGCCAAAACTTTTTTGGGCAGAACTAATTGAGCGAATTAATCATTTCTTAGACACAACATTCCCTTTTTGCATCGGCCTGACCAGTTGATAAATGTCTCTTAATAGATTTTTACTAATTTTTGAATATGGTCAGCTCCTCGGCCTCGTCGAACTTCTCGCAGTCGAGCCGCCGCGGGCGCAACAACGACCGCAAGATGCGCAACTACCGCGCCCCGGCCCCGCAGGCGCTCCCCGGCGTTCGCTTCGAATCCATCAACGAGAACGTGGGTTTTGATTGTAGATTATTAAGTACAATTAATAAGCGGTTCTTTTTCAGTATCGGGGGGGGGGGTGAGGGGTACAATACTTTTTAGGAGCTAAGTTTTGCAATATAAATAGTGGAAATGTGGCTAAATGGCTTTTTACTATTCCTAACCGTGAAAACTTTACAAAATTGTATTAAAAAATATCAAAACATCGTTTTTCGACGAAAAATTTCCAATTTTTGGCAAAAGTTTCGACTTTTTAAAAGTTTTTAGTGTTTTTCTGGTAGAATTATAGTTTATTTTCCTGAAAGCACTTTCGATTAAGCTAGTAGGTTACGGAAAATCGAAAAAATTGATTTTCCCGAGCAAATTTTACATTTTAAGCTATTTTTAAAGTTTTCCAAATGGCTTTGCCACTTACAATGTATCTAACTTTGATTGGAATTACTAAAATTAGCTAGCTGTGACGTCACTATTCATATAAGAAAAATTCGCCCCCCCCCCGCTAACGAACCAATACCGCAATAATTTACCGTGGTTTACAGATGCGCAACCCGGCGATGCCGGTGCAAGTCGTGCCGATGACGCCGCGCCCCGTCCTCTTCACCGGAAACACGCCGTTGAACTCGACGATCGAGACCCGGGGAATTGCTGAGGTAGTCCCGGTGGATCTACTGTATGGCTTCTTTGACACGAATTCGTCGGTTCTTTTGCATTAGCGGGGGGGGAGGGATCAAGTTTTTTCTTTGGGACCCCATTTTTCTAATATAAATATAGCAAGTGTTTCTAAACTATTTTTGGCGCTTTCCAAATTTTTATTACAAAATACTAAAAAATATATAGACTTTTGGACCGCAAAAGGGCCGATTTTTTACCTAAATGTGGAATTGAAAGCTTTTCTGAGTGTTTTTTTTTTTGCTTTTCCACATCAAATATAGATATACCCAAACAGGGGCGTAGCTAGAGCCAAATTTCGGGGGGGGCCCCGAAAAATTTTGGCGACCTCCCCCGGTCACCACTTTCAAAAGATATTCAAAAATCGCAGCTATAACAGCGCCGCAGGCCGCAAAAAATAAGGAAAAAGCGTTAGCAACGCGCAAATTCATGTAAAAACATCACAGAAAACGCGCCGCAGGCGGAAATTTTATATGGACAGTTGACACACTAATGAAAAAAGCGCCGCAGGCAAAAAAATTTTGGAAAAATAGGCTTCAAAGAAGTAAAAACCGTCTTAAAAACAGTAATAAACAGCGCCGCAGGCAGAAAAATTTTTATTGAAAAAATCATAAGGGTCCCCCCCTTTTTTTGAGCCGATTTTGGGGGCAACTTGCCCCTGTTGCCCCCCTCGTACGCCCCTGGCCGGGGCCTTGGTCGGGGGCCGGGCCTTGGTCGGGGGCCGGGGCCTGGGCCGGGGCCGGGGCCGGGGCCGGAGCCGCTTGCCAGGAGTCACATTCTTAAACTTGTCATTTTTTATTATGTTTCCAGCCGTTTCTTTTATGGAAACATCGAGAACATCGATAAAAATCAAAAAAAATTTCGAAAAAATAGCCATTTTTTTTCGGCCTTCGGCCGATTTCGGGGGGGGCACCGGGCCCAGGGGGCCCACCTTACGCTACGTCCCTGTACCCAAATATAAAATACGGTATATGTCGGCTACGCGGGGGGGACTGGACAGGCAGGCCTTTTTGGATGTTTTCGTTATCTTCTCGGAATTTTCGCAACGGCATTCGATAGAGCATCGAAAAATATACTAAGAGTTTTTGTTTTAGCTAAAATTAGTGTAATATAAAAAAATTATGGCAAATACAAAAATAAGCTTTGAAAATCGGTTTGAGCGGCTGTTTTTCGATATTCGCGATATTTTTTCGACATTTTAAAGATGCCATTCGATAGAGCATCCAAAAATATACTAAGAGTTTTAATTTTAGCTCAAAATAATGTAATAGAAAATAGTTATAACAAAAACAAGTATTAAACGTTGTTTTCATCGAGGATATAGAAGGAAATCAAATTTTCGCCATTTTCGACATTTTTACACAATTTCTTTAGTGCCATTCGACAGAGCGTCAAAAAATATACTAAGAGTTTTGTTTGTAGCAAAAAGAAATGCAAAAAAAATAGTTAGCTCGGCCCCAACAGTCCGTCCCCCCGCGTAAAATTTCCCCCCGCGTAGCCGACATAGACCATAAAATACAAATAAATTTTTGGGCTAAAAATCATGCTTTTTCAGAAGATTCGCCGCCCGTTCACCCCGCAAGAATTCGGCGATGCGATGGGGCTGACCGTGAAGTTTATCAACGAGTACACCGAACACCCGGAGGTCTATTCGGTTACGACAGGTATTCACGAGCGGCTTTATTAGGTTTATGAATCGATGGTTCAGACAAGAAACCGTGGTCCCTGGTGGCCACCCTGCCCAAGGCCGCCCCCCCAGCAGCCCGAGGAATACGCCGACGTGATCGCCGACCTGAAGAAGCACATCATGCCCATGGTGGGGTGTTTTGCCCATGCCCATGGTGGGGTGGGGTGGGGTTTTTTGAAGAAGGCTAGGTTCTTTGGCGTTATCGGGGGGGGGGGGGAAGGACAAGCGGAAATGTTTCTTTTCTAAACTTTTCTTACCATTCCTAAACGTATAAACTTTACAAGCTGTCATTAAAAATACAAAAAATATCGATTTTTCGACCGAAAATTACAGTTTTTTTTTAATTTAAATTTAACCTTATCAAAAATGTGGAATTTTTGCGATAGTTTTGCTAGTTGAAAAATCTAGTTTTACCAAAAAAAAAAATTAGATTTTTATGTTTTTTCGCATAGAAATTTGTGTGATTTTTACGTTTAGAAGTAGTAAAAAACCGTTTAGAAACGGCTATTTATATTTACTAACCCACTTTCTAACCATTCTTAAACATAAAAACGGTACAAAGATAATTTTACCTCGAAATATTGATTTTTTTTAGACCTAAAGTGACCAAATTTTCGACTTTTACCAGATATTTTTCTACCTTTTTTGAAAGTTTTTGTAAGTTTACTAAGTTTAGCAAATTGCTTTTTTTCAGTTGACCCACTGGCAGCACCCCCGCTTCCTGGCCTACTTCCCCACCGGCCGCAACCACGCCGACATCCTGTCGAACGCGATCGAAGCCGCGCTGTCCATCGTCGGCTTCTCCTATGTATGCAGTTTCCGGCAACTTGTAACCCATTTCTTTTGCAGGACTCGTGCCCGGCAATCACCGAGTTGGAGGTGGTCGCCGTCAACTGGCTGGCCCAATGCTTCGGTTTGCCCAAGGGATTTCACTGGAATCTCGAGGACATCCCGGTAAGCGTTTCGTTGGCTCCGTTTGCTCTTAAAACCTGAAATTGGACCTATTAAATTTGGAATTTAAACTGGAACCTTTAAATTTAGAGATTTCGGAGAAGTTGTTCAAGATTTGCTTTGTTTGAAATAACAATTTGTAAGGTTTTCACGTTTAGGCATAATAAAAAACGTTTAGAAACCATTCCACTATTTGGATTTGCATAAATTAGTTCCTGAGAGAAAAGTTTGTCCCCCCCCCCGATAGTGCAAAAGTACCGCGCCATAAGTTCTCGTAATGGGACGCTCGAACTAAAAAAGTGGCTTGAAAAGCCGAATCCTGGTGGCTAAAAAGGAAAATAATTTCAGAATTCCCCCGGCGGCGGCTTCTACCTGCCGTCGGCTTCGGACGGCGTCTTCGACGCCGTGATGGCCGCCCGTGACTGGAAATTTGAAAGGGTGCGCAGTTTTTTTGATTTTGGATGAAAGTATTTTTGTATTTAGTTCCTGAAAAAGTACCACGAGGGTCGCCTGTCGAAGACGCTGAAGAGCGAGTGCCATCGCGACGAGTTCCACGACCTGCGCCACCAGATCTGCCAGCGTCTCGTCGTCTACACCAGCAAGGATGTACGTAAGAGTTGCCTTTGATCGTAAATTCCTGAACGCAAAAACCTTTAACAAAAATATCGATGAAAAAACACAAAAATATCGTTTTTCGAACATAAAAATGCTCGGTTTTCGACAAAAAGAGTCATCAACTTTTTTTTAATAAATTAATGATTTACTTATTTAAACACACAGGAGTTTTAGAATGGTTTAGTTTTGTTAGTTTAGCTAGATATAATTAGAATAAAAAATAACTTTAAAAAAAATTTTTAGACATTTTTTCCGACTTGATTATGGTTTAATTTTATTATAAACACTATTCAAAAATACTTGCTGTTACGCTACTAGTCATTTAGCAATATCTTAAGCGAAAAAAAACAATTAAAAAGACATAAGAATTTTGATGGGAATTTGGGTCGAAAGTCGGGCATTTTGCGCGGAGAAATCTATATTTTCGCATTTTAACGAAGTTTTTACTTTCAGGAATGGCATAAAAACAGCTTAGAAACACTTTGCCGACTTTTATTAGAAAAATTACCCCCCCCCCCCGATAGTGCAAAAGAACCTTTGAAAGTAAGATTCGTTTTTTTTTTGCAGGCCCATTCCTGTCTGGAGAAGGCGTGCAAAATGGCGATGGTCCGCTGCCACCCGATCCAGGCGACCGCCGAGAACGAGTGGGGCATCACCGGCGCCCAGCTTGAGGAGGCCATCAAAAAGGTAGATGGCAACTTTATCTGAAAAAATCACACACCCAATTTAGGATCGTGAATACGGGCTGATCCCCCTGCACGTGCACGTCACCCTCGGCACCACCTCGACCGCCGCCTGCGACCATCTGAAGACGATTTGGCCGGTGGCCAGGAAGTGGGGGAATTTCCGGACGTCTCAGCCTAAGCGAAACGCGTTATTTTCAAAATATCGAAAATCATAATGCCGAAAATCATGTCGAAATTTACAAAAGAAAATCTCCCGGAAAAGCCCCAATTTTTTTACCAAAACTGTCGGCATTCTGAGACTTTGATATTAATAAAGCAAATGGAGCTAAAACGGTACTGCAGTTTTAGCGGGGGGGATTGAGCTGGCGGAAACGAATTTTTGTTTTGTTTTACGCCTCTACCTAGCTGCTAATAATGTAAAATGTATTTTTATACCGTTTTTAGTAGTTTTTAATTGCTAGCAAGATGTCAAAAAATTAAATTTCGAGAAGTGGAAAGTTTTCGAAGCTTTTTTGGATCATTTTGCATACGTTTTACGCAAAAAGTGAGAAATTTCGATATTTATCTGCTTTTTCTGGCTAAAAACTAGGTGGAATTCCTATAAAAAAATCGTGGATAGTTTTAAATGTATTGTTTTTACTATTATTATTTTTATGTATAAATTTATTTAAAACAGTTTTAAAATTCGACTTTACATGTCTTTTTCAGATACAAAATGTGGCTACACGTGGATGCGGCGTACGCTGGCGGCGCCTGGGTCGAGCCGAAATTCCGTGGAATGACCGAGGTTCGGCTCTCTTGAGCTGTTTTATTGTTATTTTTCCATTGCTCAGGGTCTGCAACACGCGACGTCGCTGAACATCAACCTCAACAAGTTCTTCATGCACGTCTCGCCGGGCAGCGTCTTCTGGACCCAGGATAAGGACACGCTGAAGAAGGGCTTCTCCATCACCCCCACCTACCTCAAGCCAATGAAGTGTCGGTTTTTTTTGTTTGACTTTTGGGATTTTCGAGACCTTTTGCAAAGTTTTTCTGTTAGCTTGCCCAGGGGTTTTTCTTTCCCAAATTGTCACTGCTAGCTTGCTCACGTTTTTCTTTTCCTCAAATGTCCCTGCTAGCTAGCTCAGGTGTTTTCTTTTCCTCAAATTAACCCTGCTAGCTTCCCGCACGTTTTCTTTTCCTCAATTTGTCTCTGCTAGCCTGCCTAGGAATATTTCTTGTTCGCAATTTGTCTCTGCTAGCTTGCCCAGAATTTTTCTTTACCTAAAATTGTCTCTGCTAGCTTGCTCACGTTTTTCTGTTCCTCAAATTAACCCTGCTAGCTTGCCAGGGGGTTTTCTTCCCCCAAATTGTCTCTGCTAGCATGCCCGGGCTTTTTCTTTCTCAAATTGTCTTTGCTAGCTTGCCTAGGGATTTTTATTTTCCTCAAATTCTCTCTGCTAGCTTGCCCAGGCTTTTTCTTTTCGCCAAATTGTCTTTTCTAGCTTGTCCAAGGTTTTTCTTTTCCTCAAATTAACCCTGCTAGCTTGCCCGCACGTTGTCTTTTCCTCAATTTGTCTCTGCTAGCCTGCCTAGGGATATTTCTTGTTCGCAATTTGTCTCTGCTAGCTTGCCCAGAATTTTTCTTTACCTAAAATTGTCTCTGCTAGCTTGCCAGAGATTGTTTTTGCCTTCTCAAATGGTCTCTGCTAGCCTGCCCTACGAATGCAACTAGCAACATCCACTTTTCAGCCGAAACTATGGACCTGCGCGACTACGGCATCCAGCTGACGCGCACCTTCCGCGCCCTTCGCACCTGGATTCTGATGCGCACGACGGGAATCGACGGCCTTCGCTTCTACATCAATACGGTAAGTATTCTCTTTTAGCTTGATTTTGTAGTTGATTTAATTTCCTGCTTACTGATTTTATTTTATTAAATAAATTTTATTTAGATGGTCGACTTTTGCGCCTACTTCGAAGAGCTCATCATCCGCCATCCCAACGTCCGCCCGTTCTGCAAGCGCTCGCTCGGCCTGTTCTGCTTCTACTACATGGTCGGTCTTTACAGAAAATCCCCCGTTTTTTTTATGATATTTTGCTAATCTCGAATTGTCGGTTTTTTGGCAGTATCGGGGGGGGGGCTATTTTTTGCTGGAGGTCCAGAAAATTTGTCTTCATTTTTTCAAACTTTATTCTTCAACCTTTCAAAATTCGAAACTTTCAAATTCTTTCAAACACTCTGTCTTCTAAAACTGTAAGACGGTCGACTTTTCAAACTAAAAATTGGTCTTCAAACGGCATTTTTTGTCTTCTCAAAAACTAAAATCAAACTTTTGGTCGAAAAATCGATATTTTTGAATTTTTCGACAAAATTTGTAGGGTTTTTACGTTGAGACAGAGTAAAAAAGGTTTAGAAACTCTCTCTATTTATATTAGCAAAATTCGGTTCTTCGAAAAGTCCCCCCACCCCGATATTGCAAAAGAACCCTAGCTGTTTTTATTAGCATTTTTCTCGTTTCAGGAACCCGGCATGACGGCCCAGGAAATCAACTCGGCTACGCGCGCCCTCGCCGCCTACATCAACGACAGCCGCGAGCTGTTCATCACCCGCTCCTGTGTAAGCTTTTTTATCTCTCTCTCTCTCTATCTCTCTCTCTCTCTGTCTCTCTCTCTCTCTCTCTCTCTCTCTCTTTCTTACACACACTCTCTCTCTGTCTCTTTTTCTCTCTCCCGCTCTCTCTCGCCCTGATCATCTTCATTCCTAGGTGGCCGGCCACGACATCATCCGCATCTCGATCAACTACATCAACACGACCCGCGAGGTCATCGAGCAGAACGTGGCCATCCTCTCCGGCATCATCGACCGCTTCAGGCCCGATTGGCGTACGTTTGTCCGTCTATTGATCATCTCCTCCCTATTCTAGAGATCTTCAAGAAGAACATCCCGGCCGGTCCGGCTCCTCTCGAGGGCCGCAACACGGTGCCCGGCGCCGAAGTGTTCGACATTGATCTCAAGGGTACCCCGCTGCCCGATGTTGATCCCAGCAAGGTCGGTTTTTGAGCGCGAGGTTTTCTAAATGGTTTTTCTATGCCTAAAAATGTAAATTTTACACTTTTCTTGGTTAGAAAATTCGAAAAATAGCGTTTTGGACTAAAATTTGATCTGAAAATTGTTTTCTAAGTGTTTTTTGGGCAGTTTTTCGACGTGAAATATCACTAAAACACTTTCTGCATGTATCCAAATTTTTTTTCCAGATTGCCCACTGGTCGAATTCGCCGAACCCCGAGTCGATCACCCGTCAAGAGTACGTTTCCGTACCTTTTTTCCCTGATCCTCGGCGTTTTTTTTAGTTCTCTGACCGAGACGTATCGTCTGCCGAACACGCCGCACAAGTCGGCCGCCTCGCCCATGACGCCCATGACGCCGAATGCGGCTGAAGATGTGGAGGTGAGGTTATTAGCATTTTCTCGCTCTCTCTCTCTCTCGCTTGCTCTCTCTCTCTCTCTCTCTCTCTCTCTAGCAATTTCGAATTTCAGGAAGTGACCAATCCCGAGACACCCGGCAAGAAGAAAGACAAGGTAAGCCATCCCCTTCCCGCCTTCCATAATCCTCATTTTCCAGGTGAAGCGCGCCAAGTCCGAGTCCTCAGTGGTGACTGCCGTTGCCGCTTCCGCCACCACCGTCACCCCGACCACCGCCAAGTCGCCCTCAACGTCTGCTGATGCCGGCTCCAAGTCGAAGACCGAGTAGCAGCCATCATCCCCCTCCCCATGTGCAATCATCCCCCCCCACTGGCCCACGGTATTGCCCCCGGAATCCCCCGGTTTTTTGTAGTACTTCACTTTCCGTTCATTTTTCCGGAAAATCGTTTTGTGCCTAGATATTTTTAGTTGCTAAAAGATAGTCGGAAATTGGTTCTTTGAGCTTTTTCGATCTTTTCGAGCCTATGGAAAAGCGGAATCAGGAAAAGGCGTAGTGTTTTTAGTATAAAAAGGAATTTGGGAAAAACGATTTTCCGGAAAAATGAACGGAACTCCCCCCTTTCTCGCCGGGCTTTTCCCCCGCTCCCACCTCTCGGGTTTCTTTTTTTCTTCTCCCCTCCTCGTACTCGACTGTGTCCCATCTCTCTTTTTTTGTGTGGGCTTCAATGAATAAAGTTTCGGGCCAATGCGCGAGTACTGCATGCTATTAATTTTGACATTATACAAAAACCTGAAAAAATACCAACATTCTACACTGGAGAAAAGTGAAAAAAAGGGCTGGAAACTTGGAAAAAACCACTAAAATACTCCTATTCTTGCGTTCTAGAAACCCTGGTCTTTGAGTGTTCTATGCATGCTTTCTGCTCACCACCCACTCGCCACCCATCTGGCCCACTGTCAGGAGATACCTTCCTTGGAAAACGCGCGTTAGTTGGGGATGGCATTTTTGCCGCCCCCAGCAGACCCCTCCGCGGGTTTGAACCTCTGATCCTCAGAGTCACGTCACCAATTCTCTTCGGAGAAACGGGACCACCAGTTTTCAAACTTAAAGTTTGGAATTTATCCAAACTTAAAGTTTGGAACTATGAATTGCTACTTTCTAACTTTTCTTCTGAAATTGGAATTCAGGAGAGAAGTTTAGGTTTTAGTAAATTCTCAATCTAATAGTAAATCTTCTGAAGACTATCAATAATAGAAGAGGAGTATCTTTAATACTATTGTATTAATAGTATAGAACCCTACTATTCAAAAAGTATCTCAAAATAATTGAATAGTAAGTCCACCAACCTCCCCGACCACCAACCCTAGGTTTTTTCCGAGGTATAGTTTCAGTGTGGTCCAGAAGGGTGGCGAGTCGGAGGTGATCAAAGAACACTCAACGACTACTAGCCGCAACAAGGTTAAGTTAGATTAAAAAACTTGCAACAATTTCCTCGGCTCGGAGCCGCACAACAAAATTTGGTAGATCAGCCATTTTTGGCGAGAGGTACGCCGTGGCTGTGTCGGAGGGCGCCGCATTAATGGCTTGCCCTCACTTTTGGCATAGTAAACAACTAGCCAAGTCAGCTTCACCAGAAAAACCCAAAAACCGAGGTCTTCGAGCATTTCCGCTGCCGCGGCTTTGGGGTGTGCAAGAAACGCCGAAGCTTTTCGAGCAGTTCAGCGGAGAGAAGCCGAAGCGTTCCCCGAAATGATAAAAAATGGCTGTACGGAGCCACCGGCACAGCACGAACGGCCAAAAACCGAACGGCTGCCGCATGAGGGCCAAACGTCACGGACTATGTGTCCAGGCAGTGGGCCAGGTGGGTGGCGAGTGGGGGGGAGGGGGAAGTGCGAAAAATCAGAAGTCATAGGATAGGTTATATTTTGTCGGTTTTTCTTTTCCCAGCTTCAGCGGATAGAGAGGGAGAGAGAGAGTGAGAGCGAGAGAGACAGAGAGACCGAGAGAGACAGAGAGTGAGAGAGACAGAGAGCGAGAGAGGATAGAGTGAGAGAGAGAGAGAGCAAGAGATCGCGGGAGAGAACGCGCTTCTGAATACCGCAGCCATACCGCAAAAATTCGAAGCTAAGGTACCACAGAAGCCGAGTACTTATAAAAAAGTTAAAGTCGAGCTGAAGCATGAAGTTAGCTTTAAAGCTAGAAACCCAAAAAACTTTGAAAACGTAGAAAATTTTCAACTATTTGTAAGTTGCTCAGCTCGAAAACAGTCACAGTACCAAGCTTTTGAAGCTTCCGAAGCCACTAGGCTTCGTTGATGCACCCCCCTCCGAAAAGGGGTACCCGAAAACCGGGATTGTGGCCCGCAAGGCAGTGGCACACAATCCGGACGGCCAAAATTTGATAATTCCGAAAATTCTGAGCATTCCGTGCTTGACGTCGCCCGGCTACTCGGAGATGAACAGGCTTTTGAGGGCCAGTTCATGCTCCATGTGATATTGACCGGTCTAGTAGGACACTAGCCGGCCATTTACACACTCTCCTTGTTCACAAGGAAGTGGCAGTGGGCTGTACGTGGCCAACGGGACAGTGGAGGACGTCTCCTGACACCGACCAAATGAGGGGAAGGGATGGGACCATATGCACTGGGAGTGGGCCAGGTGGGGGGCGAGTCGGGGGCGAGGGGGAAAGGCGTGAAAAGGGGTATTTTTAGGGTCGGAAAGCTAGCAGAGTCTTTAGGAAAGGGCAGGCTAGCAGAGATTCTTTAGAAAAATACCTCTAATTGTTCGTTTCAGTCTCTGGATGCATTTTCCACATTATTTAGTATTTTATTGAATTTAATCAATTTTTAAACGTAATAAACAATTTAATATCGTAATAATTTATTTCCCAATAGCACCGCCAAAGCACAAAAGTCAATTTTAAATTTAAATTTGTAGGATCTAAAATTATCCAGCCACCGCGTAGCCGCCGACGGGTCCCGCGATGGGTGGGGCCTGGAATTTATTGAGTCACTCGATGGCGCAGTGGGTAGGGGCTAGATTCCCCGGAAAAACATTGCGGGTTCGAATCCAGCCCGTTTAAAAAATAATTAAAAATATAATTTTTTTTTGCTTGAAAAACTTACAGCATATCCACCGGACGGGGGCAGAGGAGCTCCACTAAAAAAAAAGAATTTTATTTGGGATCGGGTTTAGCAGGTATTTTTGAGGAAGGGCAGGCTAGCAGCGATTCTTTATGAAAGGGCAGGCTAGCAGAGATTCGTTAGGAAAAGGCAGGCTAGCCGAGATTCTTTATGAAATGGGCCAACTAGCAGAGATTCTTTGCCAAAATCTCAAAAATCACTCACCCTCCGCATCCGCCTCCTCCTCCGCACGGCGATGGTGGTGGAGCGCATCCTCCTCCGCATCCTCCACCTCCTCCTCCACATCCGCCTCCGCAACCTCCGCCTCCACCGCCCAGGCACGCCAGCGCGGAGCTGATCAAGAGCACGACGACGAAGAGGGCGAGGAATCGAGCCTGGAAAAAATAAAGTTAAAATGGTTCATAAAAATTTTAAAATTCCGCAAAGGATCTCTGCTGGCTCTTGTCTTTCCTAAGGAATCTTTGCTAGCTAGCCGAACGGCACAAAATTCCTGACGAATCTCTGCTAGTTTGCCGTCCACGAAAATAATTGGCTGGCGGGGGCTAGCAGAAATCATTGCGGAAAATAGATTTCAACGAGTCAGATTCGAGGCAGGCAAGCTAGCAGAGATCCTTTAGGAAAGGCCGTCTAGCAGAGATTCTTTAAGAAAAGACAGGCTAGCAGAGATTCTTCAGGAAGCCAAGCGCACGCTAGTAAGCCTCAAAACCCACTTACCATTCTTACAGTAACCAAGAGCCGAGTGAAGCTGCTTTCGTGGCTAGGTTTCCTGCCTTATATAGTCCCCTTAATGGGGGGCAAAAAGGTAGAAGGTCGCCCGTAGATTGGGGCGGTGGGCGGAGCGTCAAGGCGGAAACGCGCGGAACCGATTTTCTTTTCGGCCGAGGAATCGGATTGGAATATGGGGGGAAAGATGGCATACATGATATAGATGATAGATGGCAGAAAATGGATTTCTGAATCCCTAAAGAATCTCTGCTAGCTTACCCATTTCCTAAAAAATCTCTGCTAGCTTACCCATTTCCTAAAAAATTTCTGCTAGCTTGCCCATTTCCTAAAGAATTTCTGCTAGCCCGCCCATTTCCTAAAGAATCTCTGCTAGCCTGCCCTCGCCTAAAGAATCTCTGCTAGCCTGCCCTCTCCTAAAGCATCTCTGCTAGCTTTCCGCCCCTAAAAATACCCCCTTCATGCCTTTCCCCCACACCCAGCGCCCTCTCCCCCTGCCCCCGACTCGCCCCCCACCTGGCCCACTCCCAGTGCATATGGTCCCATCCCTTCCCCTCATTTGGTCGGTGTCAGGAGACGTCCTCCACTGTCCCGTTGGCCACGTACAGCCCACTGCCACTTCCTTGTGAACAAGGAGAGTGTGTAAATGGCCGGCTAGTGTCCTACTAGACCGGTCAATATATCATGGATCTTGAACTCGCCCTCAAAAGCCTGTTCATCTCCGAGTAGCCGGGCGACGTTAAGCACGGAATGCTCAGAATTTTCGGAATTATCAAATTTTTGCCCCCCGGATTCTGTGCCGCAATCCCGGGTTTTCGGTACCCCCTTTTCGTGGGTTGTGCATTCGCCAAGCCCAGTCGCTTCGAAAGCTTGAACGGCTTAACTATAACTATAATTTCAGTCCAAAACAATTAAAACGTACTATAAAATTTGGTTCGAAAATACGTATTTTTTTTGTATTTTAGGATCCAATTTGGTAAAATTTTTACGTTTTGGCGTTAATGTTTACACAATAACAGTTTCAAAAGCTTCCCCCGATAATGGAAAAGCGCCTCTATTCGTGGGCTGTCCGCTACTTTCCCCCGTACACCTCTGATTTGGGATGGGGTTGAAGTGTGGTTGCACTTGCCGGCGGGGGGGGGAATGGCTTCTTCCTGGAAGGGGAATGTGATGGGATGTGTGGAAACTCTTTTGAATACCTGACAAGACCGGTCTCTCTCTCTCTCTCTCTCTTTCTCTCTCGCTCTCCCTCTTCCCTCATTTGCATACACATTCCGAAATGCCCTTGACTGTCCCCTCCGGCCATTTCCCCCATACAAAAAGTTCGGCCCTCGAAAGTTCTCCTCCCCTCCAGCTGCCATTGTGATTTAAAGGGGCAGGAAAACAGCTTTTCTTGCACAGGGCAGGGTCAGATTTTAGAAAAAGATAAAACGGCGTGGTAATGGTCTGTTAGCGGGGG